AACCTCTTAACTCCGCATGTCTATGACTCTTCAACATTCTCTTAGGCCTGCAGTTCCCTCCCTGTGAAACATGGAGGCTGGGTTAGATGACTTCTAAGGCTCCTTCCACCTTAACACTGTTGTATTAATCCTTTAACTCAAAGGTAGATTCGGCATCGGAGTGACATCTACTATAGGATTGGAGCAATAAAAGGAGCAGGGCAAGTAACAGGCAGGAGTGCATGCTGTCTGCTCTCTCCCCGTCCCCATTACCCCTGCTCCAAATGAGAGACTGGGAAGTGTCCCTCTTACAAACATGGGGCATAGAACTTTTGTTTTTACATCATGGTATAGTGAGACAGTTAAAAACTTATTCCCAAGGTTTGTATTTACTGAAACAAAGCTGTCATAACTTTGAACATGACTCAGCAGTAGAACAATAAACTTTCCTTGGAAGTGTCCCACTAATCAATGAGGCAACTAATAACAGGCAGAGGCACTTAAATAACGATGCTACAGACCTTTAAAAGCGGAGTACGGAAATATCAGATTAAAGACATGTACCCAGGAAGTAGCACCCGGGGCCTGGCTCTATGGGGATAGGGAATTTTGTGTTTTAACTGACCAGACCGGAGCCTGCACATGCTCGTGTCTGACTTCAACGCAATCACCCAGAGAAAATACCAGCTCAAGACATTTAAGGAATGCTTTAGTGGAATCGTCTTCAGAGGCAGAGAACACAATCTTTTTTTTTTAATTTCTTTATTGATTAAGGTATTACATATGTGTCCTCATCCCCCCATTACTCCCCCAACTCCGCCCCCCCCACTCATGCCCTCACCCCCCTGTTGTCTGTGTCCATTGGTTAGGCTTATATGCACGCATACAAGTCCTTTGGTTGATCTCTCCCCCTTACCCCCGAGAACACAATCTTTGATGTCCAGTTCAACCTTAAACCTTTGAGGATGGGCTTGATTTGTGAAGCCAGTCATGAATTAAACCAGAGCCTTGCATATGGAATAAGGAAGATAATCAAGAGAAATAATACCCCTCTGGACTTCATCTGGAGATGGTGGAGTAGACCCCCATCGCCTACCTTTCTGCAGATAGATTGCTATGTTTTTGTGATCTGTTGGTATCAGTCATGCTCTAAGGCCAAAGGGGCCTAAGAGAAAGGATTTAGGAGGCCGTTTTAACAGCAGTGGTGTCGGTGGGACTGAGGAAGCAGCTGATCAGGAGGACACTGGATCTGGAGGGGTCCGTGGAGGACAGTGCCCAGACACTGTTGTGAACATTGTTTCTCTCTATTCCAAAGCACCAGGGAGCAATTTCTGCTCCACAGTAGAGTAAAAATGTCTATTTGTGGATCTCATTTCCACCCAGATGTTTGTTCCTTCGTCTCTGTGTCCTGCATTATATCAAGTTAATGTCGAAAAATGAATCAAATGGGCTTTTGCATAAATGGTGGTTGGACAAATAGAAAAGTCACTTGGAAACCTCACATTGAAATAAACTCCTAACAGATCAGAGATCCAAGTGTAAAACATAAAACCAAATAATTATGCATGGGTACTACGCTTAAGTTGTGGGTTCGATCCTTGGTCAGGCCATATACAAGAATCAATCAGTGAATGCATAAATAAATGGAACAGCAAATTTCTCTCTCTCTCTCTCTCTCTCTCTCTCAATCAATCAATCAATAAATTTAAAAAAATAAAAAAATATGTCTTTTCTAGATCTGTCCACTGAAAGAACCTAGAACCAATGCTACTCTAGTGGGAGTGAGCACTCCTTGCCCCCAGATCTTGGATTCTAAATATCATTTCTCACCAATAAAGAGAATGTCCTTATTCTTAGGAGATGGGTATTGAAATATTTAGTGATGAAATGGTGTGAGTGTACCATTTATTTTCAAATGCTTCAGCTGTGTGCTTGTGGGTTGGTGGGTGGGTGGATGAGTGATAAGGATCTAACTCTTGCACCAAGTAATCCCCTTTCCTGCACCTGGCATAATCTCCACCTGCCCACACTTTCTAGAGTACATGGCCTCCATTCTGAAGATGAACCAAAGCCCGGAGGAACACTCATAAAAAGATCAAAATTACTAAATTGCAGGTCCCCGACGCTTAGAGATCCTACAAATAGACAATGCCATGTGTGCTCTAATTTTCTGCTTAAAGCTCCTTACATCCTTTCAATTCAGATATTTAAAATAGAACACCTGGGACTTCAACCTTACTAGTCAATGCATTTCTTGAAATACCACTTCCTAGTGCTTTTGTTTGTGTGTTGTTGTTTTTTGGCTGTGATAGGTGAGAGCTTTCATTAGAAGTTACTGGCTTTGACGCAGCTTGGAATTGGGAAATACGGATTCTCACTGAGGCTCTATAACTAACTTGGAATGTAGCTTTGGACAAGTCACATCCCCTTTAGGGATCTTAAGTTTTCAATTGCCAAATATAGGGATTGGACATGATTATTTTACACTGTAAGTTTCTGTGATTTTGAGTTTTCTCCAAATAGAGTTTTGCACCTAAGAATAACAGGAGTGGAGCGAGAGAAAGAGAGAGAGAGAAAGAGAGAGAGAAAGAGAGAGAAAAGTGTGAGGCTTTATTGGGATATGAAGTGACAGCTGGAGTAGGATAATTTTTTTTCCAGATAATTTTTTGACATCTTGTGTCACATTCTTTAAACATGTTAGAATGCATAAGGGTGACAAAAGGTTCTTCAAGTATATAGAACAATATTTGGTATATGATTTTATTTTTAATTATCCTTAAATCCAACAATTATTTCCTTTTCAATCTAGAAGAAAAAGGATGGGCTCTGAGTGGTTCTGTGGCAGGCAGTTAGACCGACATGAGCAGAGCAGGAACATGGGACAGGCACAGAGAAGGTCACCAGGGCAGAAAGCCCCAGGTGTCCAGCAACGGGCAAAACTGGGAAAACAAGGATCTTCCCTCACCCCCGACCCAGGGTAAACCTTCCTCCCCGAGCATATTGCTGGTCCTGTGGCTTAGACCCCCTGACCTTTCATCTTGCTGGTCATGCGGTTCAGATACTCCCATGACCTTTCCCCTAGTATGTGCTGGTCATGCGGGTTAGACTCCCTTAGAAGAGAATGAACAAGGGGGCCAGGAAATAGCCCTTAAGGGTTATAGGGCACCAGAAACACCAGAAAAGATATTATCAGACCAGCCCCCTGAGTCGAAGGGAGAGGGCTGTTCCCTCCTCAATTCTTGTCATGCTCCTGGGAAAGAATTCAAACAGCAGCATTGTAGTTAATTTATGAAGGAAGCAAAGCAACGCATTTATTGAAGAAGTAAATCAGGCAAATCTATCAAAATACACTGGCATGCAGCACCGGTGGGCACTCCCTGTGTCTGCAACTCATGTGGTAGCCGGTACAGCTATGCCGGAGTTGGCCGAGGATGTGTGACACCCCTCAGATGTTGGTTGAATATGCTCCCATGCATATTAAATAACCTACCATGTACATCTACACGATGGAATACTATGCTGCTGTAAAAAAGAAGGAACTCTTACCATTTGCAACAGCATGGATGGAACTGGAGAGCATTATGCTAAGTGAAATAAGCCAGTCAATGAAGGAAAAATACCACATGATCTCACTCATTCATGGATAATAAAGACCATTACAAACTTTTGAACAATAATAGATACAGAGACAGAGCTGCCTCAAACTGATTGTCAAACTGCAGTGGGAAGGCCAGGGAGGGTTGGGGGACAGGAGGGAGGGGAGTAAGAGATCAACCGAAGGACTTGTATGCATCCATATAACCATAACTAATGGACATAAGACACTGGGGGGTAAGGGAGGCCAGAGGATTGTCAAGGGCGGGGGGTGGGGGAAGGACACATATGTAATACCCTTTGTAATACTTATTATAATATATTTTTTTAAAAGAATAAAAAAAAAATTAAAAAAACAAAAACAAAAACAAAAAAACAAAATAACCTACCATGGCAGGACAATTGAAAAATAGTAAATCTTCTGTTTGCTTGCATGGCTGGGGATAGACAATCAACCGTGACCATCTATCTAAAAGTGTTAGAATACAAATGCACCAAGCATGAAATCCTATTGAAAGCCACTTCATTCTCTTGATTATTCATTATGGTTGCTCAGAGTCTGACAGACCTTCAAGGTCATTATTGTGAACATTACTTATCATTGTAATGTGGCAATGGAAAGTGTATTCTAAAAGAGTTCTGTTTAGTAGAAGTCTGCACGTACAAGAAGCCACCATTTTATTTGGGTGTGTGTGAATCCACACTTCTGCTGTGTGGTGTCAAAACAGGAATGTTGGAAGCAAACCTTCCAGAGTCGTCTTTGGTGCCTGGGTTGTGGGTGCCTGCTCTCCATAAACTCCTGTGCAAAGAGGCCTGGAAGGAGAGGGCCGTGCTGATTGGGGTGTTGGTGGGGGAGAAGCGTTGTGTTTGTTTGGAATTGGTTGAGGGGAGCAGCTTCAAGTAAACTTTTCACAGTTTAAGTTGGAGGCACACTTTTCAACCATTCCTTCCTCACCCCCTCAAAACATACAACCAGGAGTGAGAGGTACTATGAAATATAAACCCATTGAATATAAATGTATCTAATGAGTGTTATGTTTAAACTAGGGGCCCAGTGCACGAATTCATGCACCTTGAAAGGACCTGTGGGCCACAAGGCTGCGGTGGACACAGGGGCGGGTCTCGGCCCATCCTTCCGCTAAGGCCCCTGGTCCCTTGTCTGCTGGCAGCCCCGCTCCCACCACCACCGCTCTCACATGCTGATGGTGCTGGCCCCAGTCACACCCTCTGACAGCGAGGAGCAATTGGGGCCGGCGCCAGCAGTGGGTGCGAGTGGCGGCTGCTGCCCCGATCGCCCCTCAGGAGCAGGGGAGGTGGAGAAGCCCTCAGGAGTGATCGGGGCCTGCACCAGGCGCTGGCAGCTGATGTGAGCGCCCAGTGGGACCAAGGCTCACAGGAGCAAAGAATTTTCAGTAACCACCAATGACTTGCCCCGATGACAGCAGCTAGCTGTCCCCCACTCAGCTGCTCCACCATCCTGCCACGGTGGATGCCCGCCATATTCTGCGTGCCCGCCCCCTGGTGGTCAGCACACGTCATAGCGACTGGTTCAGTTCAGTTGTTCTGCTGTTCGGTGTATTTGCATATTAAGGATATGGATATATATCAGCACTTCAAGCAAAGTGTTGTAATGTGGTTCATTTTGAAGTGACTGTTCAGAAACACTGTTTTCAATACCCCCATCATGGCTACCCCAACATACACGTCTATAGCCCCAACTCTCAGGACTCCGGTTTCTCAGGCTAGGGACACTCCTATGGGTTTAACTGATTGTGTTGAGTAAATACTGCTGGAGAAATTCTCTGTCATCCAAACAAGCTCAATGTACTAACGTGTTAGAATCTAGTTTCTGGAAAAGCAGAATTGTCTGTATTCCCATCACAAACGGATTCCTTACCTTATTTTAGATGTGTGGCATTAGGATCTATGTCTTAAGCATCAGTTCTAGGAATGCAGTATAAATTCCCATAAAGGTATGGATGGGAGTGCTTGGTGCATGTGGGAAAGCTTGCTGAGTCATCTGATTCCTGAGTTTGTTGTACTGAGGTGGCTTAAAATGTTAGGTTCTTTGACCTTCTCTTCAAAAGGTGGAACTGAATTCCCCTCCCCTTGATTGGAGGCTGGACTTAGTGATTTGCTTCTAACAAGTAAAACAAAGCAGAAATGATGGTATGTGACGTTAGGGATTAGGCCATCAGAAGGTATTACAGCTTCCTGCCTGCTCTCTTTCCTATCCTTCCCTCTGCTGGACGCCGGCTGCCATGTCAGGAGGACATGTAAGCAGTCCTATGAAGAGGTCTGCGTGTAAGGAACTGAGGCCTCCTGCCCACAGCCAGGTGAGCGAGCCGCCTTGGATGAGGGTGCACAGCCCTGCTGACATCTTGACAGCAATCGCAGGAGCGATCCTGAATCAGAACCACCCCACTAAGCCACTTCTGCATTCCTGACTCTTAGAAACCGGGTGAGATAATAAATCTTTGTTGTTTTAAGTTGCTGTGTCTGGGGGTAATTTGTTAAATAGCACCTACTGGATGGTACTGTTGCTCAGCTACATGCACCGTGAAGAGAACTGTTTCACCCGCAGAGGCCAGAGGCCATATAACTCTGCCCCAGTGCACTCTGGGAATTGGGCCCTTGACCATGGTTTCACACTGAGGGCCAGGCAGCTGCTCTCTGGATACTTGTGAGTTAAGTACTTTTACCCTTTAACATCACACTTCAATTTTAATAGATGTTTTATTTTTCAGAAATACTAAGGTCAGAAAAAAGATCTGTCACCACATCCCATCCATATCCCATTGAACTGACTGAGTAGCCAATATTATGTGCATTTATTGTTTTGGTTTTGAGAGTTAAAAATCCCATTAAGGTCACAAATGCTTTAATAGGAAATTCAAATTTTCAGGGCCTTGCAGCGTTCAGCACTAACATTTGACATGAATGGTAGACACCAGGGCTCAGGGGCCCAAGTTAGATTCAGAATGTTTTGCTTGCCGTGAAGGAAGGAAGTAGATGCCAGCAATAAGGTGTCCTAAATGATGCATGAGTTGTCACATGGCAGTTCTGTACCCTGGTCTCACGGTGGGACCAAAGAAGATCCCCAGGAAAACCATTATTGGCAGCAGTACCACATTCGAAGCCCGGGCCATGAATGATTCCTCCTTCTCTCCCTTCCTCATGACCTTCTGCTCCTTGTTTCTCCAGCACATGCTTTGTGTTTCTGCCTCTGAACATTTGCGCATGTCTTTCTTCCTTCTGAATGCCTGTGTGCTCCACCCCCCCCCACCCCACTCATCTTAGACCTGTCCACAGGACCACATCCTCTCCTTTCCTCAAGGGCAGCACTCGGATGTCACATCTGCCATCCATCCCCCCAGCAGTCCCTTCTAGCTCCAAGTAATTTATCCCTCCTCTGGTCTCCTATAGTACATTGATTTGTTTCCTGCTCTAATTATTTATGTTATAATTGTGTATGTAGATGCCTTGCTCTCCTAGACATGTGTGAGCTCAGCGAGTGGTCACCAGTGAGTTGGTCCTTTATTCCAGCAAATAAAGGAATGCAGGAATTTTGAAAGTCACTGGATAAAACAAACATGGTTTTGGTTTTAGATTTTTCATCTGTCTTCATTTCGACTGTGTCTACTGGGTGAGGATGTGTAGAGTAGACAAGAATTTCAGATCAAGGAAAGATGAGTACATACATCCCCCCAACCTGTTTGTGTGTGTGTGTGTGTGTGTGTGTGTGTGTGTGTGTGTGTGTATAGATAGATGATAGATAGATAGATAGACATAAAAATCTCCAGGAAATTCAAAATAAGCTGGTTTCCTTTGGGGAGAAAAACTGAGTGGTTTGGGGATAGGAAGAGAGATCTAGTCTCTTGTAGCTTTTAAGTGGCTGTGTTACTTATTTAACTTTTTTAAAAATTGGAAGACATGTGACAAGGAAATCTAGTTATCATTTGTCCTCTTACAAAGTCTGTGTAACTCTGAAGGTCTGCGACCTGTGTGGACTGTAGAATATGCTTCTGTTGGGAAGGCTCAGTTGTGCTGACAGCAAGGCTACTCCTAATTGTTGGGAGATAATTCTACGTGGGCCTTTTGTGTGTAAGCACATCTACTGAGTAAAGGCACTGACACATCATTGTTCTAAACCAGTGATGGTGAACCTATGACACGTGTGTCAGAGGTGACACGTGAACTCATTTTTTTGGTTGATTTTTCTTTGTTAAATGGCATTTAAATATGTAAAATAAATATCAGAAATATAAATCTTTGTTTTACTATGGTTGCAAATATCAAAACATTTCTATATGTGACATGGCACCAGAGTTAAGTTAGGGTTTTTCAAAATGCTGACACGCCAAGCTCAAAAGGTTCACCATCACTGTTCTAAACTATCTATTGAAGGATATTTGCATAGCAAATAGCCTTGATGATAGAGCTAGTTTCTCCCTATGGAACAGAGGTCAGATTTGTTTCCTGTGTAGGATGATGTCTCCCTCAAAAGTAAGGTTGAGCAGGCTTGCTAACAGCTCCTTTAAGAGACCAGGGTTACCTAAACTCAGAGATTCTTAGCTACGATGCAAACCCAGTGAGTATGCAGAATCCACCTGGGCTGTTCCACATTACCCGCTTGGAACTTGGGGGAAAGGGGGACTGAGGCAACATGGAACTCACACCAACTGCTATGCAGTGAGTAATAAAGTCTTCTGTCTTGACCCAGGAGTTTCTTGTCTTCTTTCAGCATCCATGAAATTGTGAGATTAATTTATTAGCGCACAAATATGGTAAAATGTTATACCCTCTGCATTTCTTGACACTAATGATATAGATTGAGATAGTTGGAGATACCCATCTTAATAAAAATCTAATATTTAGGATGAGCAGTTCTCCTCAGGTGAGCAGTTTCATAGAGAAATTCTATTATTTCAGTGGCTTTATTCCAGGAATGTATTAGATACACAGAAGACACAGGAAAGACCCATTAGCCATTTAGCCTGTTCCCTGCTAAGATAAGAAATTGAAATAACACTAGGAGCTAAATTGTGTCCTTGGTTGCTTGGCAGATGTCAAATGGTCATTGCTCTAGGTTACAGGTTTCCAGTAAAATACAGCAGAAATAAAAGAACACTTTCCCCAGAATATTCAAAATACTTACATGACCTATCGGCTACTTTAGCCAATAGTGTTTGTATTCAACACGGGGAGGATGGAAACAATTTACATATTTCTTTCTAGAAGGATGCGATAGGTCTTTTAATATATGAAAGACAGGAATGCAGGTAAGGTTGATGGCAGGGTGGGGAGGAGAGCAGGTATTAAACAGGATGGTCAAAAAGTACCTCAATGAGAAGGTGGGAGTCGATTCCTTTGAGGAAGAAAAACCATCTCCATATTCAACAAAGAGCTTTGTAGGCCGAAGGTTTAGCCAGGGCAAAGGCCCGAGGTGGCAGGTGGGAGGGTGTCAGGTGAGTTCTAGGAAGAGCAGGGAGACCAATGTGGCTGGGGCGGAGAAAAGGGGCGTGTAAAGGGGTTTTTCTGAGACATAAGGGATGATGATGGGGCTGGGAGATCCTATAGACCACTGTAAGGAATTTGTCCTTATTGGATCTGAGGTTTAATAATAATAATAATATGAATTTGGGGTTTCACCACCTGAAAGTGAGTTACAACTAAAATGATACTTGAAAGCGACAAGAAAATTGGATTCTGGACCTTAAGCGATGGAAAAAGAGGAAAATGTTAAGTAGTACCGGCTCTGAGTACAATAGCAGGAGGCCTCGCCCCTCCGGTTGTGGTCCCGACCCCTCGGAGTGACAGGCCTCGCCTCCCGCATGTGGTCCCGCCCCCTCAGAGTGACAGCCCAGCGAGGCCTCGCCGGTCCTACCGTAGTCCCGCCCCCACTCAGAGTGACAGCTCAGAAGACACGCCTCTCCCCTTCCCGGCTCCGCTACCACTCCACGTGACAGGCCAAGTAGGCCAACCCGGTCCTCTCCTGGAGCGACACGCACTAGGCCCCGCCTCCCACCATGGTCCCGCCCCCCGCCGGCGCGTAATCACGTCTAGGCCCCGCCCTGCAGGCCCCGGCCCGCCCCGCCTCCCGGTCTCCCCGGCACTCGGCCCGCCCCCAAAGACGTGGAGCGCCGCGGCGGCGGGTGAGTGGGGGAGGGAACCTCAGACCCCCTCGCTCTCGGCGGGCCAGCGCCCCAATCCAAACCCGGGACGCCTCCTGGGACTCCTCCCCGACCGCCGCCCTTCCTCCCAGGGACCTCCCCGAGCTGGCGGTCCTGGGAATGGGGAAGTGGGCTGGGGGTGTCCAGGTGGGGAGAGGGAGGCGTGAAGGTATTGGGGGGGAGTGGCTGTCGCAGCGAGGGGGAGGGGATAGGAGTCGGGGCGTGGAGGGTTGAGGAATGGAGTGAAAGAAAGGGGGTGAGGCCGAAATCTGGGGTGACGAGCTAAGGATGGGGGTCCCTCGGGGAGGGAGGCTCACAACTTTGGGG